TTATGTCTTCTTCTCATAAAATTTTAAGAAATTTAAAGCCACCCTGATGTCAACCAGGCAGATGGTGCAACAAGCTGTTGGATTTCATCAGGTTGAACTTTGTCCACATTTTGTTCTATTTCATCTTTATTAGGCTGAAAGTTCTCCAAAAGCAAGAGCATGTGTGTTCTGAAAACCTAATACAACATCTGGATCCAGATGTGTGTCTGATGCGCCAAGCTAAGCCACAATCAGAGTATGTTTAAAGTAACACACATGTTCACTTAGACAGACATTGTAGAGAGTAAAAAGAGAGAAAGCGTGAGGTTAAAAATCAGACGTTAATAACTGAAGTGTGTCTTGTGTGTTTCATGTTGGAAATGGTAAACTGTTCACACCAAAACACGGTTTATACCAAACAAATGTGTTAATTGTTGTTTTTTAAAAGTACATGGCAGCATTTCTAGAAACGTTTTTGTCCATGCCAAACTGTAGGAAATGAGCCAAATGCTGCTAGCACAGACAGGCCTGCATGTGGTGCTGTGATGTTTCACCAGAAACAGGAAACAAGACGGGGAACAGCCGCTTCAAACTGGAAACACAAAAAGAAGGGAAAGGCAAGGAACACAAGAGCAATAACCAAATCTTTTTTTGTGGATTGACAAGAAACTGAAACTTCTCATCCGTGTCTCTGACTGAGACATGTCAGTCCAAAGACAGGTACATAATGGACATATTTCATGCTCAACGCCCAGATAGGCAGCCGAAGTGAGGGTTTAAATATCAGGCGAAATTCTTCATCAAGTCTTGTTCTTTTTAAACAATTCCAGTTTCCCTCATTTTTAAACATGACCTGATGTATTTATTTATGCAACTTTTGTTTAAGTTTTGTTTTCAGGATTTGGAGTCCTAAAACCTGATTTCTATGTGAACACAAGGCAGAAAGGATTAATAATAGGTGGTGGGATGTGTAATCATTCAATTAAATTAAATTCAGTTTATTTATATAGCACCAAATCACAACAAAGTTGTCTCAGGGCACTTTACAGAAACATTCACATACATAAAAAAAAGCCAATTAGTAAAGTTCTCTATCTAAGGAATCCAGCAGACAAGTTGAATCTTGGCTTCGTTGCAGTCTCCCATCCTGAGCAAGCACAGTGGCAACAGTGGAAAGAAAAACTCCCTTTTAAAAGGAAGAAACCTCCAGCAGAACCAGGCTCAGGACAAGCAGCCATCTGTTTTGACTGGCTGGTTGAGAGGACAGGAAGAAGAGACAGACAAACACAGAATGGTAGGTCCAGATATAGGTCCAGGTGTACATGAAAGACAAAAAAAAAAAAAAAAAAAACACATGTTAAGGATAGAAAAAATAATTACAAATACAAAACAGGTTGAACAGAGTAAGTAAAGAGAGAAGTAGAGTGAAAAAGTGTGGCCAGTTTGTCCTCCAGCAGTCTAAGCCTATAGAAGCATTACTAAGGGACAGTTTAGGAAACCCAACTATACCCTATAACCCTAACTATAGGATTTATCAAAAAGGAAAGTCTTAAGCCTAGTTTTAAAACTGGATAATGTGTCAGCCTCACGGACAGAGATTGGAAGTTGGTTCCACAAGAGAGGAGCCTGATAACTGAAAGATCTGCCTCCCATTCTGTTTTTGTAAATTCTAGGAACCACAAGTAAACCTGCAGTCTGAGAGTGAAGTGCTCTGTTAGGAAAATATGGAAC